CAAGCATAGGGTACTGCAGATGCTGTATACTTAGGGCTCTAGCCCCATAAATTCATAATGATTTCCTTCTGGGTATCTTAAGGCCACCACATGATTTTTGACAAATTATATATATTTTGGAATTTCCATTTTGAATAGTTAATTTTAAGAGCAGTTATTTCTGAAGGGAAATTCATCTAATAACCACTAGGGCATGGTTTCCCCAAAGCATACAGTTATGCTTGCTTGAAGGAAGTCAGCCATGCATTACCAACAAAAGTTAGCACTCCTGTTGTGCCTGGCGCTGTTCTCCTTTGTGGCATTTTCTAGTTTTTATGATTACACCACCTTTTTTTTGTCACGAATTACCTTTCTGGGGAAGTTTTTCTTTCAATATCTACAGGAAAAATTCATAGTGCACATACAGCCTTTTCTTTAACTAAGTTTGATTAGTTTTTTAAGTGAGAAATATGGTGTTTCTTTGCAACAAGTTTCATGTGCTAAGTACCAATGAAAACACAGGTGAGTGTATTTCATTTCCATGAAAACATACAAGTGGTCTGTGAAAGATAAAGCATAGTAAGAGTACAATGTTCTGTATTTCCTAAATATATTCTGGTCTGTCTACTGAAGTGGGTACTTCAGGGTACATCCTGACTATAATTTAATCACTTTTGGTAAATGGGTACCACTTACATAGTCTTCTCTCTCTGCTCTAAAGGATTTCTGCAGTCTTTTTATTTGCTGTCAGCTCCTTTTGAAAATAAATTTTCCTACTATAGTCTTAACCTTAAAGTCACAATGATGCTTTGCAGGGTTCTTTGTGAAAGAAAGCATAAGCTAATTCAAATATGTGAACTGGCAGCTCATAATACAAAACGATAAGCATTTGAAACCTTTTGGTTCACTTCTATGTAGTTACTAATTTCATATGCTGTTATAAATCACACAGCTTTTTAAGTGATTGACAGAATTGCCACTAATTATTCTTTTACTTTTTCTACTTTTAATTTTTTAAAATTTCAATATACAAAAAGAGACCAAAAATAGAATGAACCTGCATATCTCTATCCCATATTGTCAATTATTTTCACTCCATGGCCAGTCTTTTATATCCTTGCCTACCTGTCCTATCCAGTATTATTTTGAATATTATTTAAAATATATAACCATATAATTGAATTTAAACATTAAATCTTATAATTAATTTTTTTCTTATATAAGGATCCAAGTAAAATTCACACATTGTTACCGGCTGACATGTGTTTAAGTCTTTTTCTTTTTTTTAAAGTATAGTAATGCAATTGTTATGGTGACTTAAATGTACTAAACCTACTTTTTAAAAAGACCACTTTGTTGAGGTATGATTTACATCCAAAAAGCTGTACATATTTAATGTATAAAACTTGAGACATTTGGAGACAAGTACACAGAAGTGAAACTAACACTACAGTCGATTTCATAAACATATCCATCACTGTCAAAAGTTTCCTCCTGCCCTACTCATTTGTATTTCTTCATTTGTGTGTGCATGCATGATAAGAACACTTAACATGACATCTATTCTGTTAGCATATTTTTAAGTATGTAATACAGTACTGTTAATTATAGGTTCTAAACTATACAGTAGATGTCTTGGACTTGTTAATTTGTATAACTGAAACTTTGTACCCTTTTACTAATACTTGTTCCCTCTCCTCCCAGCCCCTGACAACAACCAATCTCCTCTCTACTTATATGAGTTGGATTACTTTAGATTCTTCATATAAGTAGTGTGTCCTTCTGTGTCTCATTTATCTTACTTAGCTTAACATTCTCCAGTTTCACCTACATTGTTGCAAATGGCAGCATTTCCTGCCATCATTTTTAAGGCTGAGTAATATTTCATTGTATGTATATACAACATTTTTTGATCCATTCATCCAACGATGGACATATAGGTAGTTTCCATCTCTTGGCTATTGAGAACAATGATGCAATGAGCATGAGAGTACATATTTTAAGTCTTCTTTAATCTATTGGTTTCCACTCCTCGCACATTCACATTCTCTCGCTCCCTTGCAATGTATTTGTTAAAGAAACTTGATTTCTTGTACTGCCCAGTTTCCCAGTCTGGATTTCACTGACAGCATTTCTGTGTTTCCTTAATA